AGAAATCGAGTGATTGTCTATCACTCGCGAGAGATAGGAAATATATTACTGTATTATTATTACTTGGAATATATAAAATGGTGGAATGGAAAATGATGACCGAGGTAGGGATATGGTTTGGGTATTGGTGAGTGTAAGAGGTTATGTCCTGCGACCAAAGTGACATAGCTTGGTTACACTGCTTTCTCTATCTATGTCGGTTAAGGACCGGTCGTTGTATAAGACTCTAGAAAAGTCACAGACTTATTATCCCGAGCACATACTTAGGTATGTGCGCTTGAAAGACTTGTTACCCTCTTGTCATGGGTTCCGGCTCTTTTCGGACCGACTGTCATGGTGGTTTTTAGGTTATGAGGTCCTTGCACCGCACTGAGTCCGGAACATAGGGTCCTGCTTGTGCCCGGGGCACAAGCGGGCGTGTATTTTCAGGGTACCCAGTTGGAGGCATTGATTCGTGAATCGCTCGGCGTTTTGGTATGGCTTGTCTATGGTCTAGCACCGTAGTAAGAACTGAAAGATGAAAGATGGAAAAAGAAAATTTGATTGCTTACCACCTGCTTGAAAGTAGCACAGGTGCTTACATAGAATGGTTGGTTAATGAACTAATATGGCTGTTAATAAAAATTGAATATAAGGACGCACGCTTAGTAATGCTTTCTATAGATGCAATAAACCCACAAGCCAGATAGCCTTGCATATCCTTAGAGTGTTTTCTTTCTCATGTTGGGTAAGTCTTGCTGAGTATAATTGAGTGCTCAGGATTTTATTTCTCACTGTTGCAGGTGACAGGTGGATGCTAGAGCTGATTTTTGTGTGTGGATCTTTCCTGATGGGCTCAGAGAGGATTTTCTTACGCTGCGATCATAGTTTTTATTTATAACTCTCACTAAATGTTTTTATAAATGAAAGTTTTATAATCTGTTGTCATAGTTTATATATCAATGATTCATCATGTCCTGATTAGATAATTATTCCCGCTGTAATTCTGATCACATGTTTATATTTCGATGTTCAATTAAATTGTTTATAACTTTGATAATATAATTACATTTTCTGTTATAATAATAAATATTATACTCTGATGTTGTATTAAAAGTGATGTAAGAAATTGTTAAGAATGATGTAAGCTTTATTCTCTCATTTGTGATCCTAATGAAAAATTTGGATTTTTAGGTTCTTCCTTAGGGTGTGCCCGACGGGACCGCTTAATTTTGTGTTCTCCCTTGAGTGCTTAGTGTCTAATGAAAGACAAGCACTCCTGGGAGGCATTAGATTAGGCAATTCTGCCATAGGTGGTATCAGAGCATAAATAAGAAAATAAAGTTTCGAAAACCTTTTCTAAACTAAAATTTGACAACTTATTTTTACAAAAAGTTAGGGCGTTCAACTGGGAAGTTATATAAGTAGCCCTATTACTATGGTTATGTATCCTGGATAGATGGCACTCTGCTGACTTAGATAGGCTTAATCAATTTTTCTACCGGTACACTAACCCTGAGCATAGTCCGATAGTATCGACTAGTTACAAGGAGAAAACGATATGCCAAAAATCTGAAAACGGTTGCCCTATATGTTGGCAATAGTGGAAGGACGTATAGAACGTGCATTCATGCATATCCTGTTTGTGCATTGTAGTGGTCGTATTCTTTGCAGATACGCCATCCATAGGTGTCACGCGTGTCGTATTGTGCACTACTGATTCGTTCCTGTCTGGAGTTATTCTGCACCGTGGATTCGTATTTCGCGTTCGCCCATGGTTCACGCCTGTCGTGACCCACATCTCCCTGTACCCCTTTTCTGTGCTCTTGTCGAACCCTTGCCCTACAGTCGTACTAGTTAGTAATGGCATCGCACGTCGCTCGCCTCGAACGCGCGGAATTTGGTCGATTCAGTCGTAGTGATCCCGCGCAGGAACCCTGGTGAACCGTGTCAGGACCACTGACCGCTCTGCCTTTATAAGCAGGGTCTGGCTTAGCCATTGGTACCACTACTCGGTGCACTTTAGCTCGCTTAGCTTTTCTTTTGAGCAAGCCTTTCGCTCAGTCCTTTCTCACGACCACCGCTAGGGATGGTAGGAATCTAGGTTAGTAGTTACTGCCTGAATGTTGAGGGTTTTGCTAGAATCCTACATGCCACACTACAAAAGCTCGAAGTCAGAGATCATCCCGAGTATGAGGGCCATGAGTATCAGGAGCATGGCACCGACCGGTGTGAGGTTACCATCTACATCGGGAAGAGTGAAGAGTTCCCCGACCTCACTGAAGCCTGGAGTGTGACCGCAATTGGGTTTCGCTTCGTCGACACCTACCAGGTTGTGGCCAGCAAAGCCTTGCGGTACCTCTACCAGATCTATGAAGAGCCCATTTCCCGTACCCCCATGAGGTTCTTTCCACCTTTGGATAAGAATCGGCGGGCATGGAGGGCTCGCATGGAGGCTTTTGCAAGGACGTGATGTGCAAGAGGACAGTTCAACCATGGTGCACTTGACCACGTATCTGCTTGCTCTAGATGAGCAGTATGATCGGCAAGCCTCGGAGATGAGGAAGTGTCTCCATCGAGTCGAGGAAGCCGAGATCTTCACCCGGATGCTCTAGGTGCAGCTCGCCGAAGCGCATGCCAGTGCAGCAGCTGCTGAGAGCCGGGAGACTACCATGTCGGAAGCTCTGAAGGAGGCTGAAGACTGGCATGTTCATCAGCTACGTGAGGTCTATCTTGTCACCAGGGCCAAGTGGAGGACGCTGGCTGCAGAACGGCAGATGCGTGCAGCAGCGGTAGTGGCGACGCGATGCAAGCGACATGGGTGCACACGATGTGACGACACGACGCAGAGGAACGTGCGCGTGTTGGTGATGACGACTGCGGCCCTGGGATGCCACTGCACCCGAGCGGCGGCGATATGCGGCGAGCGGTGGCAATGGAGCGCGGCGAAGCGCAAGGGCACCGGCGATGGCGCCCCAAGGGCACCACATCATGGCGGGGAAGAGCAACTACACGCCCGGGCAACCGGCCACCGTGACTAGCTAGGCGCGGCCAAACACGCGCGCGCGCGGCCGACTCGCCGCCGACGGCACAGGAGCACGGTGACCGCGTCAACGCGAGGAACTTGACCCAAAACGTGCAATGCACGCTTTTTAAAGCGTCCTAAAATCCAAATCGTTGATTCCATTGCCAAACCACCTATGCTATACTTAAGAGGGCATATTAGGCTAGTAAAACAAGTCCTAATACCCCACCACTCCTTAACCCGATTCTTCTACAAAAATTACCAAACCTAGTTTTGTCAAACCATTTTTCAGACTTACGAAATCGACTAAGTCATGATCGGATTCGCGTCAATTTCAATTTCCAACCTATTAGACCAGTTAGCTAGTGAATTCATCATTCGACCGCAGGTATTTCATCGTCATCTATAATGTTTGTACTTCTAACTTTATTAAAGTTCCGTATATACGTTCTACAGTGTTTTTGTTCAATAAAAATTCGCGAACATCCGTACTTGATAATTTCATACATCATGAACAACATTTTGTTATGCATTTCCGTTGGTCATTTTAAGTTGCGTAAATTGATTTACACCCTATATTACATATATTAACATATAAATATAATGCCCGTGCAGTGTTTTAGTAAACGATTTACAGTGTAACACCGATGGTGTTACAATATTACAAGTAAAACATTAATAATAATAAAGCAAATAAATACAAACTATAGGGATCACAAAGTATCATAATCAACAAGAGCATAAGAAGCCATCATAATGAGCAGGGATGATTAAAACTCTTTAAAAATATTTTAACAAAATGTAAAAAAGAGTAAAACCCAAGTTGTTTTGAATTAATTTTAATGTAATCAATTCACAACACAGTTTATATATCATCAACAAGTGATGATAATTCACGACACAGATTAGGAATATGCGGAGTAAAATACAGAGGCGAACACATGGCAAAGACAAAGGAGGAAAGAAATATTTGAAGGGAGGCAGACATGACACGGCGGCAGCAGCAGATCCAGCTATCAATCACCATGAGGGACTAGACTAGGGAGGAGGAGGCCACCAACTACCAAACCCATCGCACACGTCCTCCTCCCCTTCGTCGGCATTGCATTGCACGCCCCGCGCGGCGCCTGCTCCCTTCCACTTTCCATTGACCTCGCCCCTCTCGTCCGTCTCCTCCTTCCCAAAGCTTCGAATTTTCCCGAGGCCGGAGCCACACCTTCCTTTCCCTCCCCGCGTCCCGCGATTCGCCGTCGGAAAGAGGCAAGGCAACGGAACCCGAGCCGCCCCCGCGTGAGGTGAGGCGGGGTCCCCCGTCTGGGTGCCTTCCGTGCCGCTCGCCTGCGTCGCGGGGCGCATTGCCGTGCCGCCCCCGCGGGAAAGGGAGATTCCCGCCACCTATTAATCCTCCTCTCTTAGGCCGTTTTCTGCCTTGGGGAGCAGGACACAAACGCAGCGCCGCGGGAAAGCCGGGCGCCGCATGGATCGAGGCATCCGCTGTTCCCGTCTCAAGACCCAGTTTTGGCGTCTTGGCGTAGCGGGACGGAGGAGGACGACGGGGTTCCGGAGCGCAGGGCCGTGGCGGCACGCCGGGATCTCGGAGGCGCCGCGCTGTTGAGTGTTGACGTCTTCTCGTTCCTTCCTGGGAGGAGGTGATTTCTCTGCTGAGGAGGGCCTGGGGCGGCTCTCGGTTCAGTCCCTCTCCCTCTGCAGTTTATTTGCTTTTTTTAGGTAGGTGGGGGGTGGAGTTGTTGGGTGGGAGAGGAGCTGGAATTTATTGCGAGCTGCTTCCTTGGAGACCATTGCTGCTCGAATCTGAGCTCCTCTTCTTCTTCCGAGGGAGTTGCCAATCGCGTTCTGCAGCAAGATTGATTTGGACAAGATTGGAGCGAATTGGCTGCTCGGCGGGCGTCCAAAAACCCTGTGCTTCTGGCCTTGTCGACTTCTTGGCGGCATCTGGGAGTAGCTTTGGTGCAGTGATTCACTTGAGTCTTGAGGAATGGCGCCGAACATGAGGCTGGAGAAGCTCAAGCTCAGCACGTTGTTGACTTTCATGCGTTGTCACAGGGGCTCTAGTGATGATCACTCAAGGATTGGGACAGTGGGGTTCTCCCGAGTCGTGTACGTCAACGAGCCTGATAGGCTTCAAGAGGAGGGATTCGGTTACCTGCTGAATGAAGTGTCGACGACAAAGTACACTCTGGCCACCTTCCTGCCCAAGTCCCTCTTCGAGCAGTTCAGGAGGGTGGCCAATTTCTACTTCCTTGTCTCTGGTATCCTCGCCTTGACTCCACTCGCACCTTACACGGCAGTGAGCGCGCTTGCGCCGCTCTGTGTCGTGATTGTAGCCACCATGGCAAAAGAAGGGGTTGAGGACTGGCGGAGGAAACAGCAGGTATCATTCCTGTGGTCTTTTGTTTACATCCAAGCTTGAATATTTATTGAATTTTGTTCATGACATGACCCGTGTGTTTTGAATAAACTCAACCGGCTCATATGCTTTAGTTAATTCAATGTTTGTTTCATATATTGTATAATATAAATTGGAACAGACTTTGCTTCCTCTTTCTTGGTGTTGGGTTGTCGGGTACATTCTCTATACATATCTGGGTTTGGGGAAATAATATACATTCATGACTTTTACAAACAATGAGTACTCATTATGAACAATTCACTGAGCTATATTACCATGTATTTTGGTGTCTGAAACTTAAATTCTTAATTTGATCATTTTCCATGCCTGTGCTTTGACCATGTGATTCATTATTGATTATACTCACAGTTGTCTATTCTACTTGTGTCGCTATGCGTCATGATGTAGCAATAGTTTTTAGTCTTAGTTGTAGCATTTAATATTCGAAGAAGTCATCTTTCTTCTATATATATAAATGCCGAGCTTATCTGGGAATCAAGGTGTGGCATAATTTAATTTGTTACAAGCTCATATAGTTTCTGTGATGGTTTTCTTTGGCTGGAATTAGACGTATTTGACTGTGTTACTGTAATTTAGTTAATTTGAATGTCTATGTAAATTTTCCATGCCATTGGTATATTAAATAGATCTATGCAACTACATCACCCAGGATCACGAGCTCAATAATCGGATAGTCAAAGTGCATAGGGGAAATGGCCATTTTGAAGAGACAAAATGGAAGAATATCAGAGTTGGAGATGTAATAAAGGTGGAGAAGGATAATTTCTTTCCTGCTGATATGATTCTGCTTTCATCTAACTATCCGGATGGAATCTGTTATGTAGAGACTATGAACCTCGATGGTGAGACAAATTTGAAAATTAAACAAGCTCTCGAGGTGACATTAGATTTACAGGAGGACATAAAGTTCAGGGAAGTCAGACAAACAATAAAATGTGAAGACCCAAATGCGAACCTCTACTCCTTTGTCGGTTCAATGGAATGGAGAGGCCAGCAGTATCCCCTGTCACCCCTACAGCTTCTTCTTCGGGACTCAAAACTACGGAACACAGACTACATATATGGGGCTGTCATCTTCACAGGTCATGATACAAAAGTGATGCAAAATGCAACTGATCCACCATCTAAAAGAAGTAAGATTGAGAAGAAAATGGATCAAATTATTTACCTTCTGATGTCTTCTCTACTCATGATTGCATTACTTGGTTCTGTCTTCTTTGGGATCTGGACCAAAGAGGACCTAAGAGATGGTGAGCTCAAACGGTGGTATCTTCGGCCAGATGCTGCTACTATATTCTATGATCCAAAGAGAGCAGCTTTGGCATCTTTCTTTCATTTGTTGACGGCCTTGATGCTATACAGCTACTTCATTCCCATTTCTTTGTATATATCCATTGAGATGGTCAAGATCTTGCAAGCTCTATTCATCAACCAGGATATTGAAATGTATCATGAAGAATCAGATAAGCCAACTCATGCTCGTACTTCGAATCTAAATGAAGAACTAGGTATGGTTGATACAATTCTATCCGATAAGACTGGAACATTGACGTGCAACATGATGGAGTTCATCAAGTGTTCAATTGCTGGTACTGCCTATGGTCAGGGTGTCACTGAAGTTGAGAGAGCTATGGCTATGAGGAAAGGTGCCAGGTTAGATGATGACATTGAAAATGGAGACCACAAAGATGAAAAAATTGACAACAGTCCCCATGTTAAAGGTTTCAATTTCAAGGATCCACGAATAATGGATGGGAAGTGGATTCATGAGCCTAACAGAGATATGATAAGAGATTTTTTCCGTCTCCTAGCCATCTGCCACACATGCATTGCGGAAATAGACGAAAATGAGAAGGTTTCATATGAAGCTGAGTCCCCTGATGAAGCTGCATTTGTTATTGCAGCAAGAGAACTAGGGTTTGAGTTTTACAAGAGGTCGCTGGCAACTATAATTGTTCGTGAACGGGATCCAAGTCAGAATGTTGTTGAGAAAAGGTAAGTCAAATTTCTTTGCTCTTTCCTCAATGGATTATCCTTACTTAGTACCCAATACTGATCCTTTTACATTCTGGTACAGAATGTATGAACTCCTAAATATATTGGAGTTCAGTAGCTCAAGGAGGCGGATGTCTGTGATAGTCAAGGAACCAGAGGGAAGGATATTACTTCTCAGCAAGGGCGCAGACAGGTTAGTGCTCTATTTACGCTAGATTTCCATGTTTTAGTCGCAGATCATCTTCAGCGGTCTGCTTGTGTCCATGATTTCTTATTCGTAGTCTCTGTAAACAGTGTGATGTTCAAAAGACTTGCACCAAATGGAAGAAAATTTGAAGAAGAAACAAGAAGACACATAAATCAGTATTCTGACTCTGGTCTAAGAACCTTGGTTCTAGCATACTGTGTCTTAGATGAGAAAGAGTACAAGGAATTCAATGAAAAATTGAATACTGCCAAAGCATCTGTAAGTGCTGATAGAGATGAAAAAATTGAGCAGGCTGCTGATAGCATTGAACGGGACTTGATTCTTCTTGGTGCTACCGCAGTTGAAGATAAGCTCCAGCAAGGGGTATGCCTTTTTGTGGATAAGCCTTTTTGTTCCGCATCTTATTTTTACGTTTTCTAGAGAACCTTGCCTGTTCGTGTACTCATGTGCACGTACATATTCAGGTGCCTGAATGCATAGACAAGCTTGCACAAGCCGGAATTAAGATATGGGTCCTGACAGGCGACAAGATGGAGACGGCAATCAATATTGGGTAAGCATTATATGCCTGCATCGAAGTAGGAACTTTTTATTTCAACCTGACTATTTCCTTCTCTGATTGATGAGCTTCCCATCTGCAGGTTTGCATGTAGCCTGCTTAGACAAGGCATGACACAGATAATCATCACACTGGAACAACCTGACATCATCGCGTTGGAGAAAAATGGTGACAAACAAACAATTGCTAAGGTGAATAATTGATTTCATTACCTGCCTTTTTGAAGCATCAGGCATGTTGCAGTCATTTTACATATAACACTGTTAATGTTGGAATACCCTATATATACAATTATAGCTCTCTATTGTTTGAAAAAGTAACAAGGCATACATTCACAATTATATTTATTGAGAACCAAATCAATCGATATCATCGTAGTTACATCCTTTTTGTTGGCTCTCCAGGCATCAAAGCAAAGGGTTATGGGTCAGATAGAGGATGGAATCAAACAAATTCCACCTTCCACTCAAATTAGCACTGCATCATTCGCACTAATCATTGATGGTAAATCACTAACTTATGCTTTGGAAGATGATGTCAAGTTTAAGTTCTTGGATCTTGCTATCAAGTGTGCATCAGTGATATGTTGCCGATCTTCACCAAAACAGAAGGCACTGGTCAGATTTCTTTCTATTCTTAAGTTCCCGTCTCTTTTCTATGTATTTTCAGAGCGTATTCTTCTAGAGCATACATGCATAAACATTTGCAACAATTCCAGGTTACAAGACTTGTTAAACAAGTAACACATAAAGTGACTTTAGCAATAGGTGATGGGGCAAATGATGTTGGCATGCTTCAAGAAGCTGACATAGGGGTTGGCATCAGTGGTGCTGAAGGAATGCAGGTTACTGATTCGATGCTGTATAACTTTTGCTAATTGTGCCCATGATTTCTTTTCTTATTATTTGTTTCTTATGATGTTCTAGGCTGTCATGGCTAGTGATGTTGCTGTTGCCCAATTCCGCTTCTTGGAACGGCTACTTCTGGTGCATGGACATTGGTGTTACCGCCGTATTTCAATGATGGTATAGTTGCCATTTACATTGATTTTAATTTTTTTTTTCCACACGGGATGAACCGGAAATTTCATTACCAAAAGAAACAAAATTTAAAAGTACCACAAGTATAATGTTTGCACCACCAAACATTCGAAAAATCAGAGTGATCCTGAGAGCACAAAGGTCTCTGGAACACGCCCCAAAACGCTTTCAAAGTACATAGCAGACACAAATCGGCCATGGTCAGGCTGTCAGGCCCATGTACTCCCACTCCCAACCAGAGATGAAACTAAGACTCCCCACAGACGATGAGCGTAAAAACAAACTAAGTCAACTCATGTGTTGCTTTGGACTTAGACTGCATGCTTCTAATCTCTTGGCCTGAAACATTTATTTTGATCTACTATTCAGGCTTCGTAATTCAAGTCTTTTGATAAAATATTTTGGGATTGATGTGCAGATATGCTATTTCTTCTACAAGAATGTTACTTTTGGTGTCACTATCTTTCTGTACGAAGCATTTGCATCTTTCTCCGGGAAGCCAGCTTATAATGATTGGTTCTTGTCACTCTATAATGTTTTCTTCACCTCCCTTCCTGTCATTGCTTTGGGGGTATTTGACCAGGATGTGTCTGCCAGGCTGTGCATACAGGTACTCCGATATTTAAACAGTTTCGGTAATTAAAATGATTGGAGTAGGCAAATTTAGATATGTTACCTACTTCCCTGTCAAATCTACTTCTACCATATATTTCTGAAGAAAATGTGCTTTCTACCCTTGGGGTAGCGGAAGCTACATAATTTTTTCTGTTGATTAAAAGAATTTTCATGGTATATATGTTTTCAGTTTGTTTAAGAACTATCTTTCTGTTAGTATAAGGGTTTTTTAACCTGTGAAAAATTCCTTTATAAGTACCATTTTTGGGGGTTTTGAAGTCCCAGTTTCGCTGCCATATTGAATGAATCAAGGAAACACTGTCTTTCAAGTTATTTGAAGGCACTCCTTTTGCCTTGAGTTGTGCACACTCCTTTTGCATTTGTGTTACCTACCTTGTAACTTGCCTTCTGTTCTCTGTTCCTTTGCAGTATCCACAACTATACCAAGAAGGAGTGCAGAATATATTATTCAGTTGGCATCGGATACTTGGCTGGATGCTTAATGGTGTTATGAATGCTGTCTTAATCTTTTTCTTCTGCATCACTGCCTTTGAGGACCAGGCATTCCGTCAGGATGGTCAAGTTGCGGGCTTGGATGCTCTAGGTGTCGTCATGTACACTTGTGTTGTATGGGTTGTCAACTGTCAAATGGCGCTCTCTGTGAACTACTTCACCATAATCCAGCACATATTCATATGGGGCAGCATTGCAGTATGGTACCTCTTCCTCTTGGTTTATGGTGCCATAAACCCGAGGTTCTCAACTACAGCCTACATGGTCTTCATCGAACAGCTGGCCCCAGCCCTCTCATTTTGGTTGGTGACACTTTTTGTTGTGATGGCAACACTTGTCCCCTACTTCAGCTATGCCGCGATCCAGATCCGTTTTTTCCCAATGTTCCACAACAAGATTCAGTGGAAACGGTACTTGGGGAAGGCTGAAGATCCAGAAGTGGCAAGGCAGTTGTCATCACGACACCGGACCTCGTCGCAGCAGAGGATGGTTGGTATATCTGCTCGTCGCGATGGTAAGGCTATGCAAATAACAAGGGAGACAGAGCTAGAAGTTCAGGCGTAGCATTGTTGGTAGATTTTGCGTTTTGTACAGCTTATAGGATATTGTCTCTGGCAAGATGACAGCTGAACTGATTGGAACTTGGGGTGTTCCTGGATTGCTGCTTCTATGATGCCTGTCATGGGAGCTGTTCCCGTTCAGATGATAGAGCAAGACCACAGATTACTTAGATAGGTCACAAGGAGGCAAAGAGAATACCTGCTGTAAAGTTCAATTTTAGGAGAAGGCTTTGTGGTTTTTCTTTTTCCTGCTTCTCTTACACATGTAGATGCTTGTAACCAGATTGGTAGAATTTCGTTTTGTGTTTTATTCCTTTTTACCCCCTTGCCTGCCGTCTCTCAAGTGTATTTTAAACAATAATGGTAAGGCTTCTGATTTGAGTGGCTTTCATGCTTTATTATTTGGAAAGAATCATAAATGGGTGATTTATAATCTAAAATTGGCCTCATATTTGTTTGCATGACTTGTGTCTACACTAAAATTTAGAAAAAGGATGCCGAAACTATAAGCTTCTAAGTTATCTTAAGTTAGGAATGTTTTCTTTTATTCTAAAGATTGTAATGAGTCATATTTGAGTAGGATTTATGCTTAGGTTCCGGATATAAATATTGAACCTCGGCTATTGTAAAAAAGAATCCAATCAATCAAAACAATCTTTACCTTTTCGGTTTTACGTCAACCCTTAGGAGTAGGAGTAATGTAGATCTAGGCGAGTTTTTCAACAAGCAGGGCTGCATTGATCCGGTCGATCTCTAGCTTGTCTGTAAGTACCGTCATGGTTTATACCTTTGTTTGTAAGGCTGCATCGGTCCGGCCGACCTCTTACGAGCTCTAGTATAAGTTAGTTATTGTCGGGGACCAATACTAGGGTACACGAAGAGGAGGGGCAAATGATCGTTATACGTTAATCCATCCAGACAGTCAAAGGTGCGACTACAGCTCCAATCGACATCGAGGCCGCGGGCTCCGCCTCGTCCGACCCCAAGGTCGTGCGATCCGCCTCCCCCGACCTCTCGGGGACGGGCTTCGCCTCGCCCGACACCGAGGCCACGGGCTCCGCCTAGCCCAATCTCTAGGCGGGCTCCGCTTCGCCCGACCTTTGGGGACGGGCTCCGCCTCGTCCGACACCGAGGCCGTGGGCTCCGCCTCGCCCGACATCTGAAGGCGGGCTCCGCCTTGCCCGACGTCTCAGGGCGGGCTCCGCCTCGCCCGACATCTGAGGGCGGGCTCCGCCTCGCCCAACGTCTGAGGGCTGGCCGCCTCGCCCCATCCCTCGGGCACGGCTCCTAATGAAAGCTCACGCCGCCGCCAACCACTACGGGCCAGAAAGTACAACCCAAGGTTGAACTTCTGGCATCGTGCAGGGAGCGGTCACGTCTCAACACGACCCATCCCCGCGACATGTCATTCCAGGGAACTCACATCGCCTATAGTGACGGACGCGTGCGTGGTCACTGTGCTGCCTACTCCCTGTACGGCCGCTGATCAGCACGCTGGTTCGTCGTGCCGCCCGCCGAGGTGGAGTGGGACGTCACGACCTGCTGACAACGCCAGGGCATGGCATCATTGGTGGATAGGCTCCCGGCATGGAGCTGTCCCTGTCACCACCTGCCATGTTAGCGGGTCCCGCGCAAAGGAATATAAAGGCCCAGCAACCCTGAAGGACTTTCTCTCTCTCTCGTTCTCTTTTCTCCCACTGTAACCCATGCTTTCCCTTGGCCTACAAAAGGGAAAGCGGGCACCCCACTAAGGGGCATCAGATAAAAAACCACTAGCATCGAACCTCGAACACATAGCCGAGCAGCGACCGAGCTCTCGGTACCTATTCGTTCTTTCCACCAGTGACTTGGGACCTGTCCCTCTCTCGACCGTTTATAACCCCTACTATAAACTTTTTAGTGCTAGTAACACGAGCAGCAGGAACAAACTAGACATAGGGACATTCCGCCCGAACCAGTATAAACCTCGTGTCCTCTTAGCACACCATCCGAGCCAAATGCACAATATTAGAAATTTACTCGGTGGTGTTTACTCGAAACACCGACAGTTGGCGCGCCAGATAGGGGCCTTTTGTGCGTCTCGACATCAACACCAGGCCTCGGATGGCTAATCATAATGTCAGCCGGGTCCCAGGCACGCACGTGTGCCTCGAGGATTCGGACTTCATTGTCACGATAGAGGGAGAGCTGGTGTGGGCTCCCACCGCTGCCCAACCTCTCCACTCCGCCGGCCTCAGCGCGATCGCCGAGGCGCTGGGGGAGCTGTAGCTGCACACACCAGAGACCCACGCCCGCGGGAGCGACCAGCCCCCCAGCTTTGACTACGGGAGGTTAGACCGCCAGCTCAGCGCCTTCCTAGGACCCCGACCATCCTGGGAGGACCTACGCCACCTCACTTTTTCATTCGCCAACATTATGATGCAGCTTGCCGGAGGAAAGCCGCTCTCTCCGGAATACCTAGTCCGAAGCGCCCCGATAGTGCTCCCGTGCAGGCCGCACACCGTGGTTCTGGTGCATGAGTGTCTCGGCCCCCACCGTGACGCACGCGACACCCTCGACACCCACAGGCGTAACGTGCCCTCAGAACAACCCGATGAGGACATGTCGGTCCACCAGGCATAGCAAGGCGGCAGACCATGCACCACGGTTCCGGTGCATGAGCGTCTCGGCCTCCACCGCGACACACGCGATACCCTCGATGCCCGTAGGCATACCTGCGGTGATGCGAGGGAGAGGTCTAGTCGTGGCTACCACCCACGTCATGGCGGATGCTACGACAGCGATGAGGACCGAAGCCTGAGCCCCGACTTGCCGGGACCTCAGGCCTTTGGCCGACGCATCCTCAAGGGCAAGGCGAAGCGGGACGAGGACACCGGCGAAGGCACCTCCAACCGTCCCAACAAGAAGAAGAACAAATAGCAGCACGAGGGCTCGCTCGTGGCCATTGCCGACCGTAAGGGAGGCCAGAAGCCCGCCGAGGGTACCCCAAACTACTTCGAGAGGCTGCTCGAAGGGCCATGTCGAATCATGCTTTCCCCATCTTGCACCTATACAAGGACTACGGCCTCTTAAAGCATTTCTTGTCTAGGGGCTTCAACAAGGGAGAGCACATGAAGGAGACCAGCTAGATGAAGCGCGCAACGTCGCCCTCCTCCACTCGGCCAAGTACCTGCAAGCGTTGCACCGGTACCACGGCCGTCGAGTGCGAGGTCGGGCCTTCAACATCGGGGACCTACTGCTCCGCTTTGTCTAGAGCATCAAGAACCACCACAAGTTCTCTCCACCATAGGAGGGACAGCACGTCGTCGCGGGGGTGCTCCGACTAGGCGGCTACAATCTCAAGGCCATCGATGGTGAAGTTTTCATCAATGCCTGTAACATCAAGCAGCTATGTCACTTCTTACCCTTAATATATGCACGCTTTCTTTTATCAGTTTTGTTATCAACACCCGATCTTTAGGTGACGCCCGAACCCAGCAACGGCGGGGGTCGGGCCTCACTCGGGGGCTAATAGGAGCGTACCTACCCGATAGACATTCTCTACGCTCGACCTTCTCTCATGTTAAGACCCAGAAGCGAGGTTTGCAGAAACAAACACTGAGTAAAACTGATTGGACTACGAGAAACCTACGCCTCGGTGGCTACAGCGTCTTTGCTCACTAGCGTGATCAGAGTTTTTCCGCACCTCGGGCTGTTTGGCCTTAGCTACCAAAGAGGTCGGTGTGTGTCTAAGAGTATATCCATCTGGCAAACATTCTTCGTGGCCACCCCCTCTCACGTTGAGACCTAGAAGCTAGGGATACGAAAACAAACGTTGAGTAAAACTGGCCGGACTACGAGAAACCTACGCCTCGATGGCTATGGCGCCTTTGCCCACTAGCGTGATCAGAATTTGTTCACCCGCACCGAGCTTTATGGCCTTAACGACGGAAAGGGTCAGAGCACAACAACCTTTTATACGAAAAGGGGAGAAGGGCTAAAAAACTATTTGGCCATAACAAAATTTAAGAGCTTGTCCATTTATTACAAGTTCACCGCCTAGCTTATCTGCCTAACTAAATTCTTGCGTGGGATGTTCTCATCCTCTATCTCCGTCAGGTAAGTTCTATCCCAGCGGGGCAATACAAGTCGACCGGACGACTTAGCTGCTGCCGAGGGATGGGTAGGGAGCAGCAGGATGCCCCATGCGGGTTATGCCGACCCCGTTACGAATAACCGACCCAGATTCCGCTTGAACATATCCGGTAAGCGCTCCCTAAACCCATCACTCATGCTGTCAAGATAATTAAAGTGCCAGTGGGTCACCCTTACTTTAACTCACATTTATTTCACTATCGAGCCCCCGACCCCAGCAACGGCAAGGGGTCGGGCCTCGCTCGGGGGCTGGCAAGAATATCTATTCGCTAGACATTATTTATGCCCGACCCCTTCTCATGTTAAAAAACTAGAAGCAAGGTGTGCGAAAACAAACTATAAGAAAAACTGGTCAGACCGCTAGAAACCTATGCCCCAGCGGCTACGACGTTTTTGCTCACCAGCGTGATCAGAGTTTTTGTCCCCGCACCCCGAGCTTTAGCCTCCTTCCTTGGAAGGGTTTGGAGGGTCCTATCTATGGAATCTCCATCGAGGAGAGGCCCGTAGGTCGCCCAAGTCGATCAAATGGCTCGGGCCGTTGCTGAGAAACGGGTTGGGAAAAAGGATGCTCCATGCAGGTTACACCAACTCCGTCACGAACGACGGACTTGGACCCTGCATGGGCATATTCTGGTAAGAACTCCTCGAACGTCACTCGAGCCATCGAGGTAACTTTACCGACCCCCAATATACTTTTCCAATACATGAACATTCATTCATCCATTCTCATGCATGCATTCATACATTCATTCATGCATTCATTCATACATTCATCCATACATTCATCTCATACATCCAAGAATTGCATATGCAGTAATTGCATCACAACGCTTCGCGTCGCGTCACGAAGCGGTAGTTGTCTCATTCAAC